ACCTAACTAATAAAGTTATTCTACAGAAGAATTAAATACGAAGTAAAGAAAATGATTGTAAAAATTTAAGTAATTAAAAAAATAATATGGAATAATAAAACCTAATATTAATGAATAATAATCCAATTTGATAAAAAAATAATCCTAATGTAAAACATAGTGATGAATAATAATCCAATTTGATAATAATCCAATTTGATAATAATCCAATTTAATAATAATCCAATTTAATAATAATCCAATTTGATAATTAAAAAAACCTAATATTAATGATAATAATCCAATTTGATAAAAAAATAATCCTAATATAAAACATAGTGATGAATAATAATCCAATTTGATAATAATCCAATTTAATAATAATCCAATTTGGTAATAAAAAAAACCTAATATTAATGATAATAATCCAATTTGATAAAAAAATAATCCTAATATAAAACATAGTGATGAATAATAATCCAATTTGATAATAATCCAATTTAATAATAATCCAATTTAATAATAATCCAATTTAATGAATAATCCAATTTGATAATAAAAAAAACCTAATATTAATGAATAATAATCCAATTTGATAAAAAAAATAATCCTAATATAAAACATAGTGATGAATAATAATCCAATTTGATAATAATCCAATTTAATAATAATCCAATTTAATGAATAGTCCAATTTGATAATAAGCCAATTTAATGAATAATCCAATTTAATGAATAATAATCCAATTTGATAATAATCTAATTTAATGAATAATAATCCAATTTGATAATAAAAAAACCTAATATTAATGAATAATAATCCAATTTGATAATAAAACCTAATATTAATAAAATAATAAATAACATTAAACATATTAAAATTATCCTAGGAAATAATTATACAACATTACTTAATTACTTAAAAAAATTAACATGTAATTGTTAACATTACTTAATTACTTACAAAAATTAACATGCAAGTATTAATTACTTAAAAAAATTAACATACGAGTCCACACAAATTTATTTGTTGTTGTATAAATTACAATAATATAAATATAAGTTTGTAAACTTACCTTAAATATGGAACCCTTTGTGTTCAAGCTTTGGAATGGATCTGGAATGGCTTTGAAAATGGTAAGGGAAATAAAATAATAAATAACATTAAACATATTAAAATTATCCTAGGGAATAATTATACAACATTACTTAATTACTTAAAAAATTAACATGTAATTGTTAACAGTACTTAATTACTTACAAAAACTAACATGCAAGTATTAATTACTTAAAAAAAATTAACATACGAGTCCACACAAATTTTTTTGTTGTTGTATTTAATTACAATAATATAAATATAAGTTTGTAAACTTACTTTAAATATGGAACCCTTTGTGTTCAAGCTCTGGAATGGATCTGGAATGACTTTGAAAGGGGTAAGGGAAGAAGAAGAAACGAAAATGCTCTGAATGGCTCTGATACTCCACCTCTTGAAAGAATATCACAGTGGCAGCTTTGAAAGGGGTAAGGGAAGAAGAAGAAACGAAAATGCTTTGAATGGCTCTGATACTCCACCTTTTGAAAGAATATCGGCACACGGTTTTGAATGAAACCACCATCCATGGTCTTTAAAGAATACAAGTTATAATTGTAAAAGTGGTCTGAAATTGTCAAAATAATTGTAAAAGTTGTCGGGAATCCTGAGGGAGTCATGTGTCCTCCTGACAGGAGGAACCCACACACACACACAACGCACTCAACCACACACGCACACAAACATCACACACGCAGACACGACCTCTGTTTCTCTCTCTCTCGATCCTTCTCTATCTCTCTTCTCCCTTCTCCGATCTCTCTTCTCCTTTCTCCGATCTCTCTTCTCCCTTCTCCCACACACACACCATGGCCTTCTGCTCCTCCCTCTCCTTTCTCTCTGCACCGAGACCCACATACACCTCTCCTTTCTCTCTGCATCGAGACCCACACACACACCACGGCCTTCTGCTCCTCCCTCTCCTTTCTCTCTGCACCGAGACCCACACGCACACCATCGCACCTGCTCCGGCGAGTTCCTTCAATTTCTCCGGTTAGGTAAGCTTCGGGTTTTTCTTTTTATGTTCTAGATCGAAGCTTAGATGTGAAATTGAAGTTCTATCTCGTCTTTTTGCAAGGTTTTTGGGATGAAATCGACTCGGGAATAGGCACACCCATCTCCGGCGAGGCCGTGGGTGTCGTCGAACTTTCCGAACACCTTCGGCCGTTTCACGGCAAACAGACGTTATAAAAATGTTCCTCTCGTCTTCTATTTCATGTTCATACCTAGATCGGAGTCTAAGGGGTTGTTTTACAGTCGGCCGGAGCTGTAGAAGCTCCGGCGTTCGTCTCCGACTTGCACAGTTCCGAAATTTCGCGATATTATCGATATTATCGCGAAATTATGACGAAAACCCCTTGGATACCACTTAAAATATTGGTTTGGGGAAAAACCGATAATATATCGCCGATATTATCGATATTTTCTTCCATGCCTACGAGGGAACAAGTTTAGGGTTATGGATTTAGAAGAACTAGTAAGAAATGATAGTCAAGAACAAGCAAAGGCATTGAGACTCAACCATATGTGCCTTAGAGCTACTAAATTAGCTTGTTGTGCAGCATCTTCAAATGAAGCATATACAATTTACATGGAAGTTTTAGATGAATTGTCAAAAAAACTATCTCAAGTTGAAGTCAATATTGCATCAAATGAAGAAGCTTTTGAGATTCAAACCAATGATTTACAAAATTATAGTGATTTGCCCGATCAGTCCATTGACAACACTTCTCAAACATTGCTTTTGGATCCAAATATCTCAAAGACCAAGGTTAGAAAAAAGGATGATAATAATTGAGGAAAATCCAGTAGTTCCAAAAGAATAAAAAAGCAGTCTTGAGTTATCCCAAGAGAAAAAGGGCAAGCAATGTCAAACATGTAAGATGATTGGGAGTGGACATGATACAAGAAACTGTCCAAAGAGAAGAAAAAGATTGATTCAGACGAAGGCAAGTGAACTTATTTACTTTGAATTAGTTTTAGTTTATTGGATACACCATTTTTAATACTTTTCATGTTTTAGTCCAACTCATATTATCTTTTTTCGATATCTTATAGTTTCTTTACACCATGATGAAGGATGTTGCTAATCAGAGGATTGGGAGAATGACAACCATGAAGAATGATGCTAATTTTCTATCACGACCGAGATAATAATCAAGTTTTTAATTTGTATGGCAATTACATGAAGTTGAATATATTACCCTTGTTCATGTTATTTCATTTGACCTAATTCCAGGCCTTGTTGTGCGCCTGCTTTTGATAATTTGAGAAAATTGAATTCGGTTCTTCAAAATTACTACATCTGGGAACTGCTAACAAAGTTTCTCAAAAGATCACATAATATGAAATCTCTCATCTTAAAACACAAAGATGTAAGATGTATTTTCTCTTATGTTATGTGATACCAATATCACCTCTATAATATTGTGTATTCCCATTCAATTTGTTCTTTTAAAATTACCGACACAACGAAGAAAATATTTGCTGAGAGCAGCAGAATACGGAAAGGATGAAGTCTGAATCCAAGTCTGGAATAAAAACATCAGTTAATGATTTTTTTATTAGGGTTCAAAGTCTGAATCCAAGTCTTGATCAAAATGGGAATGGAAGAACCAATTTCAGTTAGAGTTTCTTCCTTTTTTTAATTTTAGTTTTAATTTTCCAGATTTTATGTTTATTTTTTCAGTTTTATTTTATCTTTACTATTAGTTAAAATCCATATTAAGCATCCATGTCAATTAATGAATAAATAAGAATCATTGGATGTCATGTAATTAAAAGGCTTAAAAAGAGTGTAAAAATAATTGTCCCTTGATACTATCCCTATATATATATACAGAGAGCTTAAGGGGAGGGATCCCCATTTTAAAAAAAAATGGGGATTAGGTGTGGGGCCCACTTCACATCTAATTTCAACGATCCGAACCGTCTATTTTGTTAGTCTCGATTCATAGATCATCCTTGCAAAAATTAAATTCAATCCGAAATCATTTGCCTATTTAATTATCAATATCAAATTTCATATTTTCTTATATAACAAAGTATTCGTTCATTTCCTTGAACTCAATTAGATGTCTTAAACATTTCTAATCTAGCTAATATTTTGTAAGGATGATCTATGAATCGAGACTAACAAAATAGACGGTTCGGATCGTTAAAATTAGATGTGAAGTGGGCCCCACACCTAATCCCCATTTTTTCAAAAATTGGGATCCCTCCTCTTAAGCTCTCTGTGTATATATATACACACACACACACCACTTCTTCTCTTCAGAATATATATATGTATGTATGTATATATAGCACTTCTTCTCTTCAGAATCATCTTGTTGGAGCCAATTCAATTGAATAAGAGTACAAGGACGGTAGATCCCTCTACCTATAGCCAAACCACTTATAAGCACATACAAGATCTCTCATTTCCCTGATGTGGGATTAACACCCTCAACATATATATGATCATTATATATGTGAATCACAAGATACACAGAATGCGAATTTTAATCAACCAACTACTTCTTTGCCTAGTAATAATTATCTTTTCAATATTGAAAGATGTATTGAGTTCAAACTTTCTCTTAATCGGATTGAAAAAAAAAATATTTAATATAAAAATGTCCTGAATCTAAGAAAATTTGGAAATCTCGACCCTTTTCTTACACGTTAAAGAGTTTTAGCCATTTATTTAAGAAATAGAAATATACTAGCAAAGAAAGCGCGGGTTTAAAACCGTAACCACAATTTAGCACACCCATTTTAAGTAATGGGACTAATTAACCTTTCCAAAAATGATTAGCAACTAAAATTGATCCATAAATTAACAAAAAGAAAAGACCAAGTAAAAAACTGAACACTATTAGCAGATTCATGTGTACATAATGGCAGGTCCATAAATTTTATCATGAGTTCAGGTGTAAACAACTTGATTGTGCTCATGTAAAAAAAAATTAACTCGTTATAATTATTGATTCATGTAATAAATGAGTCGATAGATCCATAAACAATATGGAAACCAAATACACATTGAACACTCTATACCTCCCATGTACAAACAAATTAAAGGGGTCATATTGCAGAACAGAAGTATACCTCCTGCAGCAAGCTTAAGCTTCGACTCCAATGGAGCAACGATGGATTCAATGGGTAGCATTTCATCATCTTTCTGTGCAGCGTGAACTCTTCAAAGTCTGCCTTCTGCTGCAATATCTTGATATAAAACAAAACCTCCATAATCAGCTTAATTAGGGTTTTTTCTTCATAGTTTCATGTACTTCAAAAGATATATGATGTAAATTATACTTGAGTATTGTCATTGTGTATAAAAAACTAAACGGATATATCACATTCAAATTTAAGTATGCTGATTACCAAAATACTTTAAATGGTTCTTCAAATTATCATTGTCATATACCATGACTATGCTGACATATCACTCTTTTTCCAAAAATACCTGCAGAAATTTCAAAGAACCTTCAAAAGAAGTTGTTTCAGAACAGGTTTCATCTCAACCAACTCTATAAAAATCAATGATTTATAAAGACTGTTAAGTGTATCTATAAGGTAAAATAGGTGGAAACCTTTACCGGATAAACTATCTGCTCAAATATGCTCAAATATTCTGCACGTTTGATCAAGGTTCACATTCATGAGAGTCATTTGGAGAGCAAGACTAACAGCACCTTAGATGACCATCCGACCTCTGGACTTGGACCATCTGACCTCTGGACTTGGTAGTCCCATCTTGTCGTTCCAAAAGTTGTGAAAAAAAATCAATACCAATTAAAATTCATATGCCAAAATTATCAAATAATGTTTTAATTAGTTTAATTTCAATGACCACCTCAACATTCTGGAAAGGCAATCCAAAGCTGCCCCCTTGAGAGACTGAGTGACCATTTTCTAGCAGCTCAACAAAGAATACTTCTCCAAGATGGTCCTAAAACAAAGCTTCACCTGCATCACTCAACCCATGATGTATACAACCAAAATCAAACAATCAGATTGAGATACAAAAACTTAATATGTGCTTACGCCCCTCCTCTTGACTTTGAACTCCCCCTGCATATTTTTAAAAAATTACAGATTAAATTAAATAAAAACAATTCAATAAAATTAATCACAAATTTCATTTGAGTAATCTTCAAAATCGAGAGAGTGTATGCAGGTGAGTTATGGACAATTTACTATGGCTCAGCCAAGTAAGGACCAATTTTAAAAAGTAACATGAAGTCAAAGTGTACTGAAAAGAAGAAAATGAAATAAAGATAGTAATATTATCACAAAAACAGCAGCAAGAGACCTTAATTAATTAAGATGGCTTATTTTAGTGAGCAAAGAAAAGCTAACAATTAACAAAGCATGGATTTATTTGAGAAAAAAAACACAGGATGAAATAAATTATTTCTTTCCAAAAGAGTATAAAAATACTACCAAAGATTCAAAAATATCAGTTAACAAACAAACAGCAACAAAAGCCATCAGACATAAGGTAAAGTACCAAATACTTGATCAAAGAAAAAAGAATCATTTACCTCTACAGCTCTAACCATGTGAGAGGGGAACTTCCTCTTTCACATTTAAATGGTGGATTGAAGACCAAACATGTTTCTTTCCAAAGAGAAGTGCCTGATGAAGATTAAAATATATATATATAATTCAGATTGCATCAAAAGAAGTATTAAAGTGGATAAGAATGGCCAAGCATGAAAATTGAACACGATGAATTACTACAACAACAACAACAAAGCCTTTTCCCACTAAGTGGGGTCGGCTATATGAATCCTATAACACCATTGCGCTCGGTTTTGTGTCATGTCCTCCGTTAGATCCAAGTACTCTAAGTCTTTTCTTAGGGTCTCTTCCAAAGTTTTCCTAGGTCTTCCTCTACCCCTTCGGCCGTGAACCTCTGTCCCGTGGTCACATCTTCGAACCGGAGCGTCAGTAAGCCTTCTTTGCACATGTCCAAACCACCGTAACCGATTTTCTCTCCGCTTTCCTTCAATTTCGGCTACTCCTACTTTATCTCGGATATCCTCATTCCTAATCTTATCCTTTCTCGTGCCCACACATCCAACGAAGCATCCTCATCTCCACTACACCTACGTGTTGATGCTTCACCGCCCAACATTCTATGCCATACAGCATTGCCGGCCTTATTGCCGTCCTATAAAATTTTCCCTTGAGCTTCAGTGGCCTACGACGGTCACACAACACGCCGGATGCACTCTTCCACTTCATCCATCCAGCTTGTATTCTATGGGTGAGATCTCCATCAAATTCTCCGTTCTTTTGCAAGATAGATCCTAGGTAGCGAAAACGGTCGCTCTTTGGTATTTCCTGATCTCCGATCCTCACCCCTAACTCATTTTGGCCTCCGTTTGCACTGAACTTGCACTCCATATATTCTGTCTTTGATCGGCTTAGGCGAGGACCTTTAGATTCCAACACTTCTCTCCAAAGGTTAAGCTTCGCGTTTACCCCTTCCTGCGTTTCATCTATCAACACTATATCGTTTGCGAAAAGCATACACCAAAAAATATCATCTTAAATATTAAGTTTGTGATCTTCGCTAGATTGCTCCGGTCATTAGTGTGGATAAGTATGTAAATGGATAGAGACAGGAAGCAAACACAAGATGTACGTGGTTCACCCAGATTGGCTACGTCCACGGAGTAAAGGAGTTCTCATTAATTGTGAAGGGTTTACACAGTATATAGGTTCAAGCTCTCATTTAGTGAGTACAAGTGAATGATTTAGTACAAATGACATTAGGAAATATTGTGGAAGAATGATCTCGTAATCACGAAACTTTTAAGTACCGAAGTGTGGTATCGTCTTCACTTGCCTTATCTGTCTCATAGGTAGATGTGGCATCTTCTTTGGAAGTACTCTTCCTCCCTTCAGGGGTGGTATCTTTAACTGGTGGAGATGCACAAGGTAATGTATCAATTTCACTTGACGCTTACTTGTAGTTTCAGGCTTGGTCAAGCGCGATACAAACCATGTAGTAGGAGTCCCCCAAGTCGCCGAGCTAGGGGATCTGCTGAAAGAGGTGACAGACAAAGTAAGCAATCAGAGCTCCAAGCAATCAGTCCCAGATCAGAAGTTTTGATTTCGAGTTCCGGCTGATTGTTATCCTTCTCCTTATCTTGCAGGTAGCATGAAGGATAAAGAGAAGAAAATGAGAAAAGGTGATATGAGATACTTTTGCTTTTGAAGAAGTAACTTTCCACAGGCTTATTCTTGAACTGGGCTGGAGGGTTTTCTTGTTTCCACCAGAGTATAAGGCCGACTGAAGAATTTGAGGGTCAAAACAAGTCCATCAAATCTAGAGTACGTTCGACCCTGCTGATATGGGATACTTTTGCTGTTGACAAAGTAGTGGATGTATCGGCACGTGTTCTGTTGCGCTTGTCTCCACATGCTTCCTTGTATCCTTCTCATTTGCCTTATTTGTTCCTCAGGCAAATGTGGTATCTTCTCGGGAAGCATAAGATGTTGAAGATGAGTACTCAAGAGCAATGGGGTTCCAGGCAGTCAGTTCCGGACTGGAAGCTTGATTCCAAGTGCTGACTGATTGCTCTCTTTCTCCTTGTCTTGCAGGTAAGAACAAGGCCAAAGGAAAAGACAGGAAAAAAGCATGATATGGGATACTCTTGCTTTTAACCCTGATGATATGAGATATTCTTGCTCTAGTGTAGCTTGTTTGCAGAGGTATTCTCGGGGGGAAAGAAAGCTGAGTATTTCGAGAGGCTTCGTTGGGAGTGCCCTCTCAGATATGAGGAAGGGTTGAGCATTTTTGCAGGTCTGCCTGTCCTTTGAGGATGGAGGTCGACATATATAGGAGTCTCCCTAACAAGGAGTAATACTATTCTTTTACCCTACTTGGTCATAGCACGGTAGTGGGAGCTGCCAGCTTCACGTGTTTTAACTCTGTCAGAGCACTTTGAAAAAGTGGTCTGTGGTATCTGGAAAGCTGATGTTACGTGCGAAGATTACAGACAAGCTTTATCCAAGGAGATCTGGCTCTCGAAGTTGAGAAAGCGGTGTGAGGATTACAGACAAGCTTTATCTAAGGGGCTCTCAAAGATGAGAAAGCGGTGCCTCTTCGGTTTTCGAACAAGCAATCCTGTCGGGGATCTGTCTCTCGAGATTCGGAGAACGGTGCCTCTTCGATTTTTGAGAAAGCAATCCTGCTAGGAGTCTGGCTCTCGAGATTCAGAGAGCAGTGTCTCGTCGCTTTTTGAGAAAGTAATCGTGTTGGGAGTCTGGCTCTCGAGATTCGGAGGACGGTGCCTCTTCGATCTTGAAGCAAGCAATCTTGTTGGGAGTGTTTTCTCGAATGTGAGTAAAGGTTAGGCCTGTTTGCTAGTCTACCTTGCCACGGAGCACAGAGGTTGACCCACAGGGACTTTCCAATTATCCAGCAATGGTCCTATTCATTTACCCTTATGGGTAATATTATGGTAGCTAGACCTTCAAAATTTATGTGTCTAAACTTTGTTAGTGCTGTTTCTTTGCTATTCTTTTACCCTTCTTGGTTATAGCAATGTAATGGGAGCTGCAAGCTTCACGTGTCTAAACTTTGTCAGAGATGTTTTGCAAAGTTATCTGTGGTACCCGTGAGCTGATGTTGCGCGTGGAAAGTGAATGATTGAACAGTAACATTCACATGCTTTCTACTTCACTAGAAATCTTCGAAAGAATGCCCGTAATTTCCGCAAAGTTAAGTGTGCATGTGACAGGTGCTGACAAGGCTGAAAAAGCAGGTGCCTTTTCGATTTCTGAGATCGACCCTCGTGGTCTCTGAGCAGCCCAGCTTTTGAGAAAGCAAGCGCCTTTTCGATTTTTGTGATCGACCTTCGTGGTCTTTGAGCAGCCCAGCTTTTGAGAAAGCAAACGCCTCTTCGATTCCTGAGATCGGCCCTCGTGGTCTCTGAGCAGCCTAGCTTTTGAGAAAGCAAACTCCTTTTCGATTTCTGAACAGGCGCCTCTTCGATTTCTGAAGCTCCATCGAGTGCGGATTTTTATAGAGGCTGGTATTAAGTTCCAAAGCACACTTGAATCTCCACCAGTAGAAGCTCCCTCCTTGCATTTCTAAGATCTTGATCCGACTTCTTTTCTCTTCAACACCTTTGAAAATGTCTGGCCCCTCCGACCGTCGTTTTGACTTGAACCTTGTTGAAGAGGCAGCCACGCCTTCTCCAGACAACATATGGCACCCATCATTCGTATCCCCTACTGGACCTCTTACCGTTGGGGATTCCGTGATGAAGAATGTATGACCGCTGCGGTGGTGGGCAGGAACCTTCTTACTCCCAAAGATAACAGACTACTTTCCAAACGGTCTGATGAGTTGGCTGTTAAGGATTCTCTGGCTCTCAGTGTTCAGTGTGCAGGTTCTGTGTCTAATATGGCCCAACGCCTATTTGCTCGAACCCGCCAAGTTGAATCATTGGCGGCTGAAGTGATGAGTCTCAAACAGGAGATTAGAGGGCTCAAGCATGAGAATAAACAGTTGCACCGGCTCGCTCATGACTATGCTACAAACATGAAGAGGAAGCTTGACCAGATGAAGGAATCTGATGGTCAGATTTTACATGATCATCAGAGGTTTGTGGGTTTGTTCCAAAGGCATTTATTGCCTTCGTCTTCTGGGGCTGTACCGCGTAATGAAGCTCCAAATGATCATCCTCCGATGCCTCCTCCTTCTAGGGTGCTGTCCAGTACTGAGGCTCCGAATGATCCCCCTCCGGTGCCTTCTCTTTCTGGGGCTCTGCCGACTGCTGAGACTTCTCCTAAGCAACCTTTGTGAAGGCTCCCTCTTGTTTGTTTATTTTGACTCGTGTATATGTACATATTTGTAACTTCTTAGAGATATCAATAAATAAGCTTTGTTTCATTTCAACGTATTGTGTTAAATACACCAAAGCCTTCTTCACTAAGTTCTTTGAATTTTTCTTTTGTTGAAGCTTGTATGTTGAAGCTTTGTGAGTGGAGCATGTAGGTTGAGGTAGTGTTCCCTTAATTTCCCGGGTGGGGAAAACTTCTCGATTGGAGACTTGAAAAATCCAAGTCACCGAGTCAGGTCGGCTATATGAATCTTAGAACGCCATTGTGCTCGATCCTGTGTCATGTATCCTCCTCCGTTAGATCCAAGTACTCTAAGTCTTTTCTTAGAGTCTCTTCCAAAGTTTTCCTAGGTCTTCCTCTACCCCTTCGGCCCTGAACCTCTGTCCCGTAGTCGCATCTTCTAACCGGAGCGTCAGTAGGCCTTCTTTGCACATGTCCAAACCACCGTAACCGATTTTCTCTCAGTTTTCCTTCAATTTCGGCTACTCCTACTTTACCTCGGATATCCTCATTCCTAATCTTATCCTTTCTCGTGTGCCCACACATCCAACGAAGCATCCTCATCTCCGCTACACCCATTTTGTGTACGTGTTGGTGCTTCACCGCCCAACATTCTGTGCCATACAGCATCGCCGGCCTTATTGTCGTCCTATAAAATTTTCCCTTAAGCTTCAGTGGCATACGACGATCACACAACACGCCGGATGCACTCTTCCACTTCATCCATCCAGCTTGTATTCTATGGTTGAGATCTCCATCTAATTCTCCGTTCTTTTGTAAGATAGATCCTAGGTAGCGAAAACGGTCGCTCTTTGGTATTTCCTGATCTCCGATCCTCACCCCTAACTCATTTTGGCCTCCATTTGCACTGAACTTGCACTCCATATATTCTGTCTTTGATCGGCTTAGGCGAAGACCTTTAGATTCCAACACTTCTCTCCAAAGGTTAAGCTTCGCATTTACACCTTCCTGAGTTTCATCTATCAACACTATATCGTCAGCGAAAAGCATTCACCAAGGAATATCATCTTGAATATGTCCTGTTAACTCATCCATTACCAACGCAAAAAGGTAAGGACTTAAGGATGAGCCTTGATGTAATCCTACAGTTATGGGGAAGCTTTCGGTTTGTCCTTCATGAGTTCTTATGGCAGTCTTTGCTCCTTCATACATATCCTTTATAGCTTGGATATATGCTACTCGTACTCCTTTCTTCTCTAAAATCCTCCAAAGAATGTCTCTTGGGACCCTATCATACGCTTTTTCCAAATCTATAAAGACCATGTGTAAATCCTTTTTCCCATCTCTATATCTTTCCATCAATCTTCGTAAGAGATAGATTGCCTCCATGGTTGAGCGCCCTGGCATGAACCCGAATTGGTTGTCCGAAACCCGTGTCTCTTGCCTCAATCTATGCTCAATGACTCTCTCCCAGAGCTTCATTGTATGACTCATTAGCTTAATACCCCTATAGTTCATGCAATTTTGTACGTCGCCCTTATTCTTGTAAATAGGCACCAAGGTGCTCTTTCGCCACTCGTTTAACATCTTCTTCATTTTCAAAATCCTATTGAAAAGGTCAGTGAGCCATGCTATACCTGTCTCTCCCAAGGCTTTCCACACTTCAATCGGTATATCGTCTGGGCCCACTGCTTTTCTATGCTTCATCTTCTTCAAAGCTACAACCACTTCTTCCTTCCTGATTCGACGATAAAAGGAGTAATTTCTACACTCTTCTGAGTTACTCAACTCCCCTAAAGGAGTACTCCTTTCATGTCCTTCATTGAAAAGATTATGAAAATAACCTCTCCATCTGTCTTTGACTGCGTTCTCTGTAGCAAGAACATTTCCATCCTCATCCTTGATGCACCTCACTTGGTTTAGGTCCCTTGTCTTCTTTCCCTTGCTCTAGCTAGTTTATAGATATCCAACTTTCCTTCTTTGGTATCTAGTCGCTTATACATATCGTCATAAGCCGCTAACTTAGCTTCTCTCACAGCTTTCTTCGCCTCTTGCTTCGCTCTTCTATACCTTTCACCATTTTCATCGATCCTATCCTTGTATAAGGCTTTACAACATTCCTTCTTAGCCTTCACCTTTGTTTGTACCTCCTCATTCCACCACCAAGATTCCTTTTGGTGTGGAGCAAAGCCCTTGGACTTTCCTAATACCTCTTTTGCTACTTTTCGGATACAGCTAGCCATGGAATCCCACATTTGGCTAGCTTCCCCCTCTCTATCCCACACACACTGGGTGATTACTTGCTCTTTGAAAATGACTTGTTTTTCTCCTTTTAGATTCCACCATCTAGTCTTTGGGCACTTCCAAGTCTTGTTCTTTTTTCTCACTCTTTTGATATGTACATCCATCACCAACAAGCGATGTTGATTAGCCAAGCTCTCCCCCGGTATAACTTTGCAATCCTTACAAGTTATACGATCCCCTTTCCTCATTAGAAGAAAATCTATTTGTGTTTTTTACGACCCACTCTTGTAGGTGATCACATGTTCTTCTCTCTTCTTAAAGAAGGTGTTGGCTAAGAAGAGATCATATGCCATTGCAAAATCCAAGATAGCTTCCCCATCCTCATTTCTCTCCCCAAAACCATGGCCACCATGAAAACCTCCATAGTTGCCTGTCTCCATGCCCACGTGTCCATTTAAATCTCCTCCTATAAATAACTTCTCCGTCTGGACAATTCCTTGCACCAAGTCTCCAAGGTCTTCCCAAAATTTCTCCTTCGAACTCGTATCCAACCCTACTTGAGGTGCGTACGCACTAATCACATTGATGAGTTCTTGTCCTATTACAATCTTGATTGCCATGATTCTATCTCCTACCCTCTTGACATCTACAACATCTTGTGTCAAGGTCTTGTCCACAATGATGCCAACACCGTTTCTCGTTCTATTTGTGCCCGAATACCAAAGCTTAAACCCTGAGTTTTCTAAATCCTTTGCCTTAAGACCAACCCACTTAGTTTCTTGTAGGCACATAATATTTATCCTTCCCCTCACCATAACTTCCACTACTTCCATAGACTTTCCCGTTAAGGTTCCTATATTCCACGTTCCTAAACGCATTCTACTCTCTTGAACTCTACCCTTCTGTCCTAGCTTCTTCACCATCCCCCGTCTAATAAGATCAAAGTACTTCTTTTGTGTGTCCTGTGTAAAGTTGATAGGAGCATATGCTCCCAAACAACTTTGAGTGGAGTCGTTCGAAAAGAAGTTTCTATGGCCCCCTTGCTCATTTAACACTGCATCCGGGTGCCGATGGAGATACAGCGACCCTTGCTCACTTATCACTGTGCTCGGGCCACACAGCGCGCCACTTACGGGTGACGTCCTAGCTTTAGCGCGATTTCGTTCTGGATTCATTGTCATAAGGATTCGACGTAACTGTGGAGTGCCGGTTGTCGACTACCTGACGCTCTCCCCCTCCTCCTTTATCCGGGCTTAGGACCGGCAATGTAAGATAAACTTACATAGGCGGAGTTTGAACACGATGAATTACTGACATGAGTAAATTTTCTATCTTCAACTCTCCAACTAATTTGACATAGCACAACAATTAACCGGTTTAAAAGAGTTCTATAAAACATTATTGATTTTCTGAATTTGGTAGACATACACTATCTCTTTGCTTCAGTAGTTGAAAAGAGAAATGGAGAAATCATGAATGTGTAAATAAAAAGTTGAACCTTATGGGAGACAAAGAAATAACTCTACAGCTAGCAAACTATTAGAAATCCTGTTTACAAATTTACTCACGTTATCAACAAAGCCATCCATTGCCTCCTCTCTCCTTTTGCGTTGGGATGTATAAGTTTGTTTTCAATAAAACCCTGTAAGAAAGGGAAAGTAGAGGAAAGTTTAATGATATAAACAATAGAACAGATCGCATAAGCTCCCTAAAATGCACAAATGTAACTATTAGTAATAATAACCAATGTAATCAAACATAAATAAAATGGTATGGTACAGTTTTATTCTTTTTCATAGAGCTCTAAGGTTCGAGTCTTATGAAATGGCGAGTTTGATACAAATTATTATTGGTGGAATTGCTAGTTTTATTCTCTTTCATGAAAGCCAAAAACCAATACCAACATGATTCAAAGAACCTCAATCTACTATCTTTAACAATTGAAACTATATTGTAGGGTGTTAAATCTTTAGTCTTAATTTGAAGACTGAAAATAAAACAATTTGAAGCTAAATTGATTAGTATTAAGCTTAGCCTCAAATATTCTTCAGCAGATGCAATCCAAAATTAAGATAAATTTGAAAGAATTGAGCCTAATGTGGTCTTACTCATCACACACTGCTTCCCCATTCAATACAAAAGTAAAATAAGTGAGAGGTTAGTTGGAAGATTAGTTGGAAGAAAATAATAATTAAAATCTTGTTCACAGGCTCTCCTCAATTATGTCTTATCCATCTAATATTTTAGTAATACTCTTTTAGTACTTAATTACTAAATTTGCTAGTCTAGCCTATTACATAGTCTGAATTTTAATCAATCTTTACCATCTCATTGATTAGAGTTGGTCTTAAAGTCAATTTACACTGTTCACCTCTCAGACAACACTATAATCGATTATTAAAGAAAATTTGCTAAATGACCGAAAAAAATATCCGTCATTAGATTTGATATCAAATTTATAGTCAGCTATCGGGACACTATTATTTACCCTCTTATCTATTAGTAGCTAAATATTCTCACTGGAGTGTTATGGTGTTATACAAATACAAATTACAATACATCTCAAGAAACTCAATAGAAACTTACCATGCAACCAACAATGTCTTCGCCGCAATAGTCACTGCCTCCTGCTACCTCTCCTGTTACCACTCCACCTCAATTACCACCGTCATTTCCTCCACTTCTACCACGACTGTTGCCGGCAGCAGGCTGTTAAGCAAATCAATATTTGCATAAGATGAACCAACATTTGAAAAGTATAAGCAGATGGATCAACACAGAGAGAAAACTCCTAAATTTACAGCAAGATGAAAGCTTAACGAAAAAAAAATTTGGGTAAAAAATACCTAAATTTACAGAGATATGAGAAAATAGGGTGCAAACATAATGTGCCCCTTTTTAAATGTGGGTCAGTGAGGGTAAGAGAGAGTGCCCTTGGTGTTCTCACTCAATACGACCTTGCTTGACAGAGATATGACCTTACTACCAGAATGGAAAGAAGCCGGTAAAACAGCATTGGTAATTACATTGGATATATGCAACCTGCTATGGGAGTCATGTATCCAAAGTGGCAGATCTCACCTACGAAAGCATCCAAATCATCAGAATAATGCAGGAAAAAATAGAACTGAAACTCATTAGCATAACGCATAAAATAAGGAATTGAGTACCATACAAATAATAAAACGAATTTGAAGTTTTTGCTTAACCGAAAAGTATACATTTGATATATGTACCCCAAGACTCTTATGGATCCCTGAACATTGCATGCATATGAAGATACCAAGATTCACGCTAGCCAATCGTGGAGCTTTGCACCAAAAAATGGAAACACTACAACAATTTAGAAAAAAAAAATGTTTGACATATCCGTTTGAGGCTACCCACACATGCAATATGAAAATATATAGGATGTTGTTTAAATTGAAAATAAGTTTATATATAACCTTTTAATTTACCTTTTTCTCCAATAAACCTGTTGTCTCTTCCCCTTCTTTGTAGAACGTCCTACACTGCAGATCGAGTCCATATTCTTCCTGGAAAATCCAACCTTATTATTAAAAACCAGCAAAGTAGCCGGAGCTACACTCCCAGTTATGTCCTTCTTTGTCATCACAAATTCTAGTGTTGGTTCAACCCCTTCTTCGTATTCATTGTCTTCCGCATTCTGCAAATCAAAAACCCACAATTAAAATCCACCAAAAGAACAAAACCACAATTTGTTTTCATGTTCCATTGATGCTAGTATCGAAAAATTGAAACTTTTTCACCTTTTTGTAGAGACAACAAAAGACCCAGAAATTGTTTTGATTTTCAAATAAAAATCGACGAAGAAGCAAACCCAGCAAATAAAATTACACAAAAAAAGAAACCCACAAATTATTTCGAGTTTCATTGACGTGGGTCAGGAAAAGATTGAAACTTTTTCACTAATTTTTGGAAAAACACAGCAAAAATTTAAATACTTGTATGAGCTTAATGAGAAAATGGTATGTCTTTCTGGTAGAGCTCGGCAGATAGGCTGGTGACTGCATGGTGAAGGTCAAGAGTTAAAGAGAAGTCTAAATCAGGGAAGAAGATGAGTTTTACCCGATGACTCAAGTCGGGAAGGAAGACAGTGGGAGTCGGCAACTCAGGATTTCAGCCAAACATAAAGAGAATATGAAGAAAGAAATAGTTTTGTAAGATGCTGAGAAGAAAAACAGGGAAGAATAGAGCTTGTGGTTTCTGCAAGAGAGAGCTCGTTGTTTCTGGAAGCAAAAGGATAAAAGGTCGGCTTTCCCGTCCTTCTTCTTTCAAGATTACGAACACGTGTACATCACCAACACGTGTAAATCAGGAGCAGCGCCAGATAAAGGCACCAACTGAGATTTTGGCAGAAATGAAATAAAACCAATTAAGTAAAGGCAAAAATGGAATGACACTGTGCTTATGAACAGTATTTTAGGCGTTTGTCTCTTTTAGTTACAGCAGATATGATTGCTTTAAGGTACGTAGTATCTATAACGTGGAAGGAGAAATGCAACCTATGGATACAGTACAGTTCAACCTAACGTTGTGTGTTTGTCAAAGCTTTGCACACTCTAAAGACAAACCTCAAACACACTAAGAAATGAACAAGCGGACTCAAGTAAACCTCGTAAATTTGTTCTTAGTTCTTTGTTTTTTCTATGGAAATGTGAAGGAAATAGGAAAGCCTTTGTGTAAAACAATCATCCATGATTTGTGTGAACGAATTAGTGTCGCAACCATTCAAATCAAAGTATCACTTGCATTATACCACTTCATATGAAACATGCCTTTTTTATTTGAATTGTCATTCAAATGCTTAGAACATGTTTATCAAGTTATTTCATTTTAATATATTCCATATCAAAGCTTAGAGTTCAAATCACCGACCGACCGATCTTTGGTCTAGGTCCGATCGGTCGTTTGACCTAGGTCCGACCGGTCGTTTGACCTAGGTCCGACCGGTACTAATTTTTCCGAGAACACCAAGGGTGAGTTTTTGGTCTAGTCAACCGATCACTATTTTGAGGATTTGCTAAATTTTGAACCCTGACCATATCGATGTCGACCAACCAGATTAAGTTGTAACCTAAGTATGTTCCATTGAAGGCCAACCCATATCAGATGATATGGTGGTGGCCATCCCATTAATCCAACTACTGAGGACCCAACTGCTTTTTATCTGAAAGCACTTCCTGTATAAGCACTAAAAGGTGATTTTAATAAAAAGCTAACAGAAATGATTCTTTATCCTTGAAAAACATTTTTGTTAAGGGTATTCCCAAATCCCAGGCATTCCCTTTGCCGTAAGTAGACTTGAGGAAGTCAAGTTTCTTGGTCATTTGTGGGAGAAGCTCTGCTATCACTGGCTTTCATGGCGGGGTGTTGTTCATCCGAAGGATTCAACAAAGATTCAAAATTATAGGATTAAATACATGTCGAGACCAAACTGAAACATCAAGTAAACTACAATGGCGAAGATTTTACTGTATCCTGGGTTCGAAATACGGAAACTCTCTAACATCACAGCTCATTTTTCTCTTTTGAACTGGGTTCCGCAGCTTGAATCGGGTTTCTTGTATCTTTGACTAAATTGCTACCTTGACGGCCACCTACAGTACAAACCAAATGGACCATTGAATACACGGTTGTGGCCATATGTTCTTATTGATCTCGCGGTGTCAAACACCCCACTGGATATCCATGCAACCATAATGGAGTTAGAAGATTACCTGCCGGTGTCAATATTCGATCAGCAAAACCCGCAGCTGGACTAGAATTCCCAGGAACACTTAACCTCCCATGGTATTCTCGCAACAGTGCGTTGTTACTTGCTGCACCGGTTTCAACCTCTCCACTAGGCATGCGACCTTCACTGCCCAGCTTTGCATTAGGTTTTGGTGAGTAGGTTGTTGACCAAGATCCTCCATTTGATCCGGCTAAAGCCATTATAACATCTGCCTGAAAAGAGTACGTACAGTGGTCACAACAATGTCACGTAATTAACAGCAGAGAGTGAAAAGATATTTGAATTCGTACTATGTTGCTAATAGAAACGATGGTGAAGAAAAGGGAATTATAATTTTTTGAAGACATCAATGACAGAGAAACATTGATGAATAATATATGAAAGAAAATAGCGGTAGACTATGGGATGGAAACTAGACTTAAGTTTAGATTTCTAATTAATATTTAGGGAGTTCTTAGGAAACTAGACTTAAGTCATAATCCGCACCATTCACTTTCTTTATCATCTTTTAATATCAGCTCTATAAGAAATCAATCAAATTGGAAATTATACATCCATATGTATAAAACAAATCAACGGTTTTGTTAACAACTAATATTCACATAACCAACTGTCCATTAGTAAGCGATTGTCAATTTGATTGAACTTCTTTTGCAGAGATGATCTTTAAACACGATTAATAAAACGACCGGTTACAATTATGAGATTTGTACAGTTAAAATATATCAATTACAATTGGATGGACAAGTAGGTGCACCAATGGGATTAATGACGCAAGCCAACTCCTTTTTTTACAAGAATCATTTAAGGGCACTTGTTGATTGGTTGAAATAACAAAGTTTTCCCTAATTTCTCTCTCTCCTTGTTCTACTTTCTCTCAGTTTGCCCGACACCATCCATGGCCTACATGACATAAACAAGTGTACGAGAGACCTTAGACTACGAGTCTTGGGTAAAATCACAAAAGAACACTCCCAAAGCTTAGGCATACAAGTCTTCAGTCAAACCAAAGATGTAACAATCCCTTCTGACTCTTTCTTAATTTGGAACTCGATCTCACATATGAATCCCTATGAAGGACAATAAAAGGGCCAACACTAACACACAACGTAAAAATTACAGCAAATATGACTTCATAAATGATCTACACGGGAAACCACTACTGCATATTTCATGTGTAAAATACCAATGGCTACTCTCTACCGCCAGAATGAGACAGCAACTGAAGAACCTTCCCACACAAAATGAAAATGATTAACAAATTAACTTCCTCACATCAATCATGAAAAGTACTATAGGAGACTCTCTATGATGTACTTTTTCTTTGTTACACCCGTCTACATCGTACTTTCCACCAATTTGATATAATAACTTGGTATTTAAGACCATGTCACATTTTTATTACCAACAATGATTGTTTGACTTTCAAAAGCACTCAATAATGAGGACCACTAATCCAACCAAAAATGAAGAATTAATGGAAGTAGCAAAGCTGACCACATTGATGGGTGAAACCAGCACTAATGAGGAAGAAATACATAAAACAGCTCCGGTTCAGGGCCAAAGAGCAGATAAATATCAGGCATGCACTAGTATAGAGTCATGCGTGACCATAATGAACAAGAAAGTGAGTAACTCTAAACTACCCCATACCAAGACAAAACACGTTCAGAGTCTTTTACAGCCTTGAAAATTATCTTCATACCCAATTTCAAGGACTTCTAGTCATTAACTCGTCAATCTCCCGCAACCAGGGACTGACAGGGAAAGCAACTTCCGCACAATTTTCAAACAGTATCGTGCTAATCCTAGCTAGACATACCCTAATAACTAAAACCTACTCTTTTTTAATGACTCAATATAGACATCTAAAAGGTCGAGCTTATGATAATATCAAGAAACTTTTATGGCTACAAAAGATTTCACAAAGCCAAAACCACATTCTCAAGAACACTACACTATACCTATAAGTTAATATCAGATCACACCAATTCTGCAATTTACAGATTGCTTATCTGCATGCAATGACTCCATAAGTTAGCCAATGTTGATATCTGTAGTATATATTCTTTAAGAGAGATTGTCCACATATATTTGCTATAATAGGATATATAAACTCATAAATCATGGGAGCTCGCTCTACTATAAATCAAGGGATATATAAACTACATTCTTTAAGAAAGCAAACCTTGTTCGGATGGACATCATCAAAAACATGAGCTTGACCACCATAAAATATGGTCATCTGCCGACCAGCTGAAGTAAATCCATGTTGACTGCCACAATGGAAGACAAAAGATAAGGCATCAAGTTTTCTCTTGAAAAAAAAAAAAGCAAACAAAAGTAACAGACATGTACTATATCTTGTATAATTAGATTTACCTTGGATTAGAAGGTTCTGACTCTAAATTATGAGTCCCAGATTTCTGCCTGCTGCCTCTTGGTAGCACCCCAGACGAGTTTCTTTCAGGAGCATCACTGCTGGCATTAATGGAACTCAAAATTCCCGGGCCTTTAATTCCAGTTCTAGATCCCTCATCTGCTGCTGATTGAGAGATATTGTTTGGAATGGCATTGGCATCCCTAAATCGGTTTGAAGGTAATTGATGTACCATGGGTACAAAATGACCCCCTCGTGCAGGGTACTGTACTGCAGCACCCATATTCATAGGACTAGGCCGTTCCCGTTTGGTGTCAACTCTACCACCAAGTGGAGGCTGAAAAATCAGAGGACCAGAAGTTGGCCTCAGTGGCTGTGTAGCAAAGACTGCTTCATCGTCAATGGACCTTCTAGGTCGTTCTCCCCCTGGTCCATTTCGAAGCATCTGATTTCAGGATAACTAAAACGCATCAGATGAGAAAAACATAGGTGGGGCGTTTTCCTTATGTAAGAATAGGATAAAAGTATTGTATCATGTCACACTAACACCTTCATCAAATGCGAGCTCTCAAGGTGATCAGGACCCGTATGAGGGACACCATCTCTGGATGAACCCATAAAAGTCGAGTCTGAATTACTCCGTTTACTTCCTAGTAACCTGTTACTTATCTCAAGCCCAGATATATCGCTCCTATGGCCATAGAACGGAACCCCCTCAAGATGGTTTCCAGCGTGCCTTTCTACCAAATTTAATGAGACAATAAATCAAAATCTAATCCAACCCATATAAGAAAGATAAGTACTGTATGTATGTTGACATTTCAGTTATACAATCATAACAGACAAGCTCAAGATCAGTAGTTAACATTCATTCACCGAAATCCCAGATGAAAAGGTCAATAATATAACATATACGTCATCATAAACATATGCTCATCCGACAAGTCTCACTTTGTAATGATAACTTTTGACAAACACACTCAACTTTTTCACTCCCACGATAACAACATCAAAACCCGAAAAAGCCCCGCCACAATGTAAATGATAACAAACACACAAAACCATTTCAGCATCATGTTTCTCAAGCCTAATTTCAAATGCTCCAATAATACACAAATTAAGAGAGCTAACAAAGGCAATGAGGGGAAATC